AAGAGTTCTTTATAGACTAATATTAACATTAGTTTGTATTTTTGGAGCCTAGGCAAGCAATGGAGAGTTGCAACTTACTGTTGTGAAATGTATTTTTTTGCTACGGAACAAGACAACTTAGAATTCTTTTTTTTTTTTTTTTTTTTTTTTTTGCGGTACGCGGGCCTCTCAGTGTTGTGGCTTCTCCCATTGCGGAGCACAGGCTCCAGACGCACAGGCTCAGCGGCCATGGCTCACGGGCCTAGCCGCTCCGCAGCATGGGGTATCTTCCCGGACCGGGGCACAAACCCGTGTCCCCTGCATTGGCAGGTGGACTCTCAACCACTGAGCCACCAGGGAAGCCCAGAATTCTTTTTTTTTAATTCCAAGAAAATTTGTTTAGTAATGACTGCCTCAAATAGTTCATACATCTTACACAAACAACTGGGTAAAATAATTTCTTGAATCAGTAATTTGCTATTTCTTGAACAATTGTTATAAATCCTATCCAGATTAGTCAAACTCATCTGTCGAATCTTGAGCATTTCTCAGTTTGGGGTCAGAAAATACTGAGTCTGATTAATGTAAACCATGTAAGTCTAGGTACTCAAAATACTTTAGCACACAAAATATTTATGAAATACGTGTTTGGCTTGATATACAAATATGTATATAAATGTATATCTTTCAATACATGTTGCTCTTCTCCTAGTGTTGAGGTTCTTATCTTAGGGTGGAGTTTAGAGACTCCCAGAATGGAAGGAAAATCAGTGAACTTGGACAGGGAAAAAATTGTCATTTTTATTTTTCCAGGCTCCAAGTAAAATTTAGCATTTCCTTCAATTTTGAATGAGGGTAGCAAAACAGTCCTGATAGTATCTATGATTTTTTTCACTAATAGAACAGATATTCTCATAGTATAATATAGTTGTTGCAGATATCTTTAAACTGTCATTTATGATTTGAAATTACCATTGTTACTAGGCCTGGTTCTAGATCTTACTATTTAATGTGTTAATTAAAAGACACATATATTACTATGCAGCAAATTTCTTTAACATTTTAATAACATACCGGTTTACTTTACAATACTACATATTTTGCTTTGTACTTTTAAAAACATTGTGAAGACAGCCAAAGAGGCCCAGGTTGCATACACGCCCACACACAAATAAAACCCCTCTGCTAGAATATCCCAGTAAAATTTTTATAATATTTTCTCATAGGTGTTTCAAGGGAAATTAGATATACATTAAGTTACTAATAGTTGATAAATTGTATTCAGCTGATGTTTACTGTTAAAATTGTCCACATACTGTAATTTATGTATAATATTTATGTAAAAGTAGTAACCCCATAATACAGTAGTCAGAAGTTTTTCTTATTTGTCAGACACCTAAGATTAAACAAAAAGACATAGGATTCATTTTAATTCATGAAAAGAGTTCTTGTGAAAAGTAATTTTGAAAGAATTAAAGATTATTGTCTTTTAAATCTCAGACTGAGTATGCATTATTATATTTCAGGAGTACCCAGACTTCTAAGTCCCTAAGAAATAAATAGTTCCTAACAAATTAAAGGTGAAATAAAAATGTATTTACATTTTGGAATCTCATTTGAATTAGGTTCATTGTCATTTTAAAAACAAACTACCAACTTTCCATTTCACAAGGAACTTTTACTTTGAAATATTTTGAGCTTATATTAAATGAGTTTTCATTCTCTCTGGTTTGAATATCCTCTGTGAAAAGAAGAAGTTTAGAAATTTTAATAGGCGCAGAAAGTAAGTTTTAAAACTTGACATTTTCTTAAACAGTCTATCTGATGGGTAGCCTCCACACAGATACTTAAATTAAGATTGTATTTGAAATCTGTACTTTATTAAAAAAACAGACCTAATATTGATCTCGGGCTTCCCTGGTGGCGCAGTGGTTGAGAATCTGCTTGCCAATGCAGGGGACACGGGTTCGAGCCCTGGTCTGGGAAGATCCCACATGCCACGGAGCAACTGGGCCCGTGAGCCACAACTACTGAGCCTGCGCATCTGGAGCCTGTGCTCCGCAACAAGAGAGGCCGCGACAGTGAGAGGCCCCCACACCACGATGAAGAGTGGCCCCCGCTCGCTGCAACTAGAGAAAGCCCTCGCACAGAAACGAAGACCCAACACAGCCAAAAATAAATAAATTAATTAATTAAAAAAAAATATTGATCTCTCACTCTTGTTCCCTTACCACCTCAACAATTAAAAAAAAAAAAAGATTCCTTACTAGTATATTTGACTGAAAGTATAACAGTTGTTGCTTAGTTTCAAGTCTTTACTGGTTGTTTGAGATAACGTTTCAGTAAGAATTTACAAGGTAAAAAGGACTTGGTGAGTATTTCAACTATCAATAAGTTGATAGTGTATTGTGAATGACAACTCATTGGCATAGTCTTTTTTTTTTAAACTTTATGATATTGGTTTAAAATGTTACTGTCTCCCAATTCTGTCCTGCCAAGTGTATGAGACATGATTTGTTGTTTTTTCTTTTCATAAATTTATTTATTTTATTTCATTTTATTTTTGGCTGCGTTGGGTCTTTGTTGTTGCATGCGGGCTTTCTCTAGTTGCGGCGAGCAGGGGCTGCTCTTCATTGTGGTGTGCGGGCTTCTCATTGCAGTGGCTTCTCTTGTTGCAGAGCACTTGCTCTAGACACACGGGCTTCAGTAGTTGTGGCACACAGGCTCAGTAGTTGTGGCTCACGGGCTCTAGAGTGCAGGCTCAGTAGTTGTGGTGCACAGGCTGAGTTGCTCCACGGCGTGTGGGATCTTCCCGGACCAGGGCTTGAACCCATGTCCCCTGCATTGGCAGGCAGATTCTTCACCACTGTGCCACCAGGAAAGCCCCATGATTTGTTTTTAAAGGCAACATTTTCTTAAAATTGAAGACATATACTGAGAATGATTTTTAACATCTCATAAACTTGTTTAATGTAGTTGATTAATAAAGTACTACCTGCAAATCATAGATGTAGGCTGTTCTTTATTTTTTCCCAATGATCTGTCTGCCTATTATGGTGTGTTGGCATATCCCTTCAGTCTCTTCCATATTCTTGGTCTGTCAGGGAGGGGTGTGTGTCAGATTTGCAAATGCATAATCCTTTAAGGATTTTGTGAAGCCACATTCCAAGAGTTGAAGTGTAGAATGTAAAACTGTGAGATATCACCTTGATTTTTATAAGTGGTCTTACTTGTGAAGGATATATTTAGAGAGTTAGAAATGTTTTTCTTTTTAATTTCATATGTGTATTTTGCAAATTAAAATTCTTTACGTAGAACATACTACTTGGTGGTGATAATGTGAGGCAACTAGACCACATTAATTAACCTGTTCTCATAAATCAGTATTTTTATGTGTTGGCATTGCTTCACGTGAAATAGGTGCTTCATCAGGAACAGACAGTAAGTGCGTCTTAAGACATATGCTGTAATATCCTAATGGGCTCAGAAATTATACTCTTAATTATTAAAGTGTTTTCTAATAACTAACTTTGTTATTGGAAGAATTATTTTGTATATCTAAAGGTTCAGTAGATGCCAAGTTCAGGTTGTAAGATTTCTACATCAGTTGGCCAGTTGAATACATCAGTGGGGTGCATACATCAATGAAAATGATAGAATATTAGTACATATGTCTCTAAGTTTTTTTTAAATTATGCACCCTATCGGTAAACAATTTTGAGCATCCCATCTATGTGTGCAGTTTTTTAAATTAATAAACTATACATTTTTATATAATCACAAGCTGATATCTCAGTGTATAGTATACAATTGTGGTGACTTCATATAGCCTCAATAATTTTAAGTATTTTGGATAACTTGTCAGATTTAATTACATTGTGTTTTTTTTACCCTGAAATGAAGAAAAAGAATTAGCTCTGCCATTGTCATTTTTACTTGTATCTCTATCTTTGATATTAACATCAAACTGTGATCCTTGCAGAAATCTTTTTAAGCAACATGTCTATTTTTGAAAGACTGTTTAGTTTAAAACTATATACTATTTGAAAATTGGCTTTACTGAACTTACTTAAACTCATGTGTATTGAAAAGTAAACAAGTAAGAACACTGCTATCAATTGTCAGCACTGTGAGACACCTGCTCTCCCTCTCAAGCTGGCCTATACCATTCCTGATACTTAGCCATCAGCTTTTGAACTGTAAATATAATCCCAACAGGAATTCTTATACATTTTGGGGAAAAGTATAAATTGGCATGACAACTTCACAGAAAGGTAATACTTATGAAGTTGAAAGTGTGCATTGTTTAACCCAGCAGTTCCACTTCTTTGTGTCTATCCTGGAGAAACTATTATGTGTGTATAGGATGTGCAAGGATATTTGTTTAAGCATTATTCATGATAACTAGAAAAAAAAGCAGAAACTGTTTTTCTACTTTTCAGTAGGAGAATAGATCAACTGTGGTTTTATTTGTATAATGGGACATTTTATAGCAGTAAAAAATGAATGAACTAGGTGTTTACTTTTAACATATATCTCAAGATATATACCATGTAATTCCCATCTGTTTAAATGTATTCAACACAAATAGTAATGTATATTGTTTGAATACATGAATATGTACTAAAAGATTCAAAATATACATGGGAATCATACTAGTTTTATGATAGTGGTTACCTTGTGGTCTGGGGTGAGATGTGAACTGTATCTTTACTGTTTCAATTTCTCAGAGAGAGAAGGAAAGGGGAGAGTGTTCAGTCTGAAGCAAATACGGGAAAACATTCTCACTTATGGGTATATGAATCATACTATTGGCTCTATAGATATCCATGCTTTTGAATATTTTTTTCATTATTTCACATGACTGGAATGGTAGTAAGCTTTTTAAGTCTTATTTAGTGGATTTTTGTCTTCTTGTTTCTCATTGGTTCTCTGTACTTTCATGAATGGTCTAGAAGTTGAATTGACTGTGTGTCAGTAAATGAGGATTTTTATATGGAGCTATTTTCTTTGTTTTACAGGAAAAACGTCAGAGAGAGGCTCATTTTCCCTGTACAGCAGAGATACTGGATTACCAGGCTGTCAAGTAAGTTAATAAATAACAAAAGCAATGAGATAATTTTTAACACATAGATAAAGACTTTAACAGAGGAGGTAGAAATTTATCCAATTTATTTCACCATTATTTGTGCATTTAATTTGTGACTAAATGTGGTGGGTTTTTAGTAATTAAACATATTTTCTTTTTTTCTGCTCCTCTGCTTAAAATGGTTTCCCTTCCACAGTTCACCAGATTGTCTTTCTCTAGCATCAAAGAATTTCATAACTCACCTCCATTTTAACTGGAGGCAAAGTAGCAGTTAGCTTCCTACCTTCTTCCAAAATGCTTATTTCTGAAAATGATGTTTGTTTATTTCCTCATGAAGAGAACAGTGTTGCTGATAGAGTACAAGAAGAACATAAAATTGCTCTGTGTAGCTTGACCATCCTATGTTAAACTTACTAATGTTGGAAGTACTTTCATTTCAACCTGTTACCAAACTCAGGTCTGGCTGCTTGCTGCTTGAAAATCAATACCTGAGGGGCAGGTGTTGGTAGAAAGGAAGATTGCTTTTAATCAGACAGCTGGCAGTCTGGGGAGAAGGCAGACTTGTGTCCCCCCCAAAACCAACTCCAAAGATTCTGCTCAGCCAAGACAGTTTTTAAAGGGTAAAAAAGAGGAAGTAATCTCAGTTGATCAACGAGATGAGGGATCAGAGTCATTGCCATCCCCCACTGCATGTAGTCTTGTTGACTTCTTGTGATCTTTCTTTAGATGCTGTCTTGTTCACAAGTTTGTTCACACAGTTTGTTCATGAGATTACTAAAGGGGAAACTAGGGGAGAGGTCTGGTCATCTGTTAATTACTTATTCTTCATTTCTTCTTCTTTGATCTATGGGAAGAACCAACAGGTTAGGCAGGGTATTGTGTCATCAAAAGATCTGAAAACTGCTTGGGCCAGAGATGACCAGACCATGGCGAGTGCCTGGTTTAAGGGTAGTTATAATATAGCTTTGCTAAAGTGACAAGACACAAGGGGTTTCCTGTTGAGGGCAGTTTCTTGCAAAGTGCTGCTTGCAAATCTACATCCAATTTTTTGAGCTTCCTACAGTCTCTTTGACTTGGAATCTTTCTTTCAGCTCTTGCATATTCCTTAGCATGTTGCATTTGTACTAATGGCCATTTTCTCTGCTGCTTTCCCCACATCTTTACACTGAGCATCCTAAACACTCAGTTTGCCAGATTCCCATCAGTGTCAAGCCAAAAAGCATACAAAGGAAAGGCAGAATATATTAAATTAGTTTTCTGCTGTCTGCATGCCTTTCATGAGACCCACCCTAATTTTAGACATAGGCACTTAACTGTCATACTAACAATATTACTTCATTTAATACCTACCCCATAATTATGCCTTTCAGAATCAGAATACCTAGGTTCAAATCCCATCTCTGTGAGTTACTGACCTGTGGTTCTAAGACAAGTCATTTAACCTTAAATCCCATCTCTGTATTGACTTCTTCATTTGAAAAGTAGAATTAGCAATTTTTTCCCACATACTTTGTAAGTCTCTGAAGGCTAAACTGCATGTACTTGAAAGGGAAAGAAAGTATTTTACAAAATGAATGCATATTTTTAAATGTTTCTATTCATATAACCCACCAAAAAAAGCTATTCTGAGTCCTTAATATTATTTTTAAGAAACCAAAAAGATTGAGAACCACTGGTCTAATGTTAACACTACTGCTAAACTTGAGGAAAAAAACTATTGTAAGATCTTTGAAATTACAGCTGAAGCTGTTAAATTATTGTTAATGCTTATATTAATTAATGAGTTTTCACTTAACATTTTTTATACTCCCTTGGCAAAGGTGTTGCTATTTAGTTAGAATCAGTGATAAGCTCCATTTATGTAATTCTCCAATTTTGCAAAGATGAATCTTAACAGTTTTTTGTTTGTTTTTTTAAATGTTGAGCCTTCTTTTAATTTATTTATTTTTATTTTTGGCTGTGTTGGATCTTCGTTTCTGTGCGAGGGCTCTCTCTAGTTGTGGCAAGCAGGGGCCACTCTTCATCACAGTGTGCTGGCCTCTCACTGTTGTGGCCTCTCTTGTCACGGAGCACAGGCTCCAGACGCGCAGGCTCAGTAGTTGCGGCTCCCGGGCCTAGTGGCTCCACAGCATGTGGGATCCTCCCAGACCAGGACTCAAACCCGTGTCCCCTGCATTAGCAGGCAGATTCTCAACCACTGTGCCACCAGGGAAGCCTGATGGTTTTTACCAGTGATTAATATGTGTTTATACCAGATTTAATTCTCATATCAAAACATTTATTCAAACCTAGATGCATAGCACTCTAATAGTTATCATTTACTGAGCACTAACTAAGCCAGGCATTGAATACACATTTAATCTGCCCCCACTCTTTTTTTTGGGGGGCCATACCCACAGGCCATGGGATCTTAGTTCCCTGACCAGGGATTGAACCCAGGCCCTCAGCAGTGAAAGCCCGGAATCCTAACCAGTAGGCCACCAGGGAGCTCCCACATGTACTCCTTTTAACAGCACCCATTTTGCAGGTTAGAAAATGAGTGTTCTTCAGAGGTATCAGTAATTTGCTCAATGCCGTATATCTAGCAAGTGGTAAACCTTCTAAACTCATGCTTGATGTTTTTAGCCTTGATGTAATTATACTGCAGGTAAGAATCTCTTATCTCCCTCTCATTTTAATTTGTTCAGTCATGGAAGGGCCTGAGAATTTCTATTTTTAACAAGTACCCCAGGTGATTTTAATTCACATTGACTGGGAATTATGCTTTGAGAAACCCAGTTCCTCTGTATACTCCAAATACAAGCACATATGGAGTATTAAAAAAGAAGAACTGTAAGATTGCTTTTTAATAATTTTTTATCACATGTTGGAGAGATCAGGCAGGCCTTAGGAAAAGAGAACAAGGTTACGGTAATGTATGATATATAAAATAACAATATTCCTGTATACAGGAAGATTTATAGGTATTCAAGTCAGGGAAATATTTGTTTTTGAAGAATTCATGGAAGCAGTACATCAGCCCCAAAGAGAAAGCCCAAAATTCAGCACAGATGAGAGAAGATTATACTGCAACAAGGATAAATAACATCAATGAAGACCAGAGGGCTCTTAAAATAAGTGAAAGTATTTCTTACTGTGAAAGGAACAATGGCTTTGCTATTTATTACTGTTACTTAGCTCTGGCTATGATGTAGTTGCCAGGAAAAGTTACGATGGTTCACACCAGCAGATTTGAGGCCTAAGTAGTAAACCCAGAAAATTCAAGAGTTTAAAAAGATGTATCACTCCCATTCAAAGAAAAACCTGTATTCCAAACTGTATTTATTATAATGGGTCAGAGAAGAAAAAAATACACCAAAACAATTAATAATTGGCTGCCTTTTTTTTTATTTTGTGGTACGTGGGCCTCTCACTGCTGTGGCCTCTCCCGTTGCGGAGCACAGGCTCCAGACGCGCAGGTTCAGCGGCCATGACTCACGGGCCTAGCCGCTCCGCGGCATATGGTATCTTCCTGGAGCAGGGCACAAACCCGCGTCCCCTGCATCGGCAGGAGGACTCTCAACCACTGCGCCACCAGGGAAGCCCTTGGCTGCCATTTTATCTTACCTGTTCACAAGCAACATAATAATCTTAACCACACAATGATAATAGAAGAAAATATAAATAGTGACTACAAAATTATATCGAAACACTACTTTGAAATCATTTTTTTTCAACAGAATCCCCAAGGAACATTTAACTGCTATTAATGTACATAAAATGCTGCTGACATACTGCAAAAATCAGGCTAATTTAATAATGCCTGATGGGCCTTACTTCATGTTAAGATAATGTAATAATATGTTGCTAAATGAGTCTCCTCATATTACCTTCACGGCAATGGCATAACTGATGAGCCATTAAAAGGAAAATGGTGTAGCAGTGTTACTGGAAACATTGATAGATCATTCTGCAATTGAATTTTTTTTTTTTTTTTGCGGTACGCGGGCCTCTCACTGTTGTAGCCTCTCCCATTGTGGAGCACAGGCTCCGGACGCGCAGGCCCAGCAGCCATGGCTCACGGGCCCAGCCACTCCACGGCATGTGGGATCTTCCCAGACCGGGGCACAAACCCGTGTCCCCTGCATCGGCAGGCGGATTCTCAACCACTGCACCACCAGGGAAGCCATGCAATTGATTTTTTTTGGTTCAACACAGAGCATAGAAGCCAGCATCTTTATTAACAATAGGTATGGGGGGGAGAGATAAATTGGGAGGTTCGGATTGACGTATACGCACTACTGTATATAAAATAGATAACTAATAAGGACCTACTGTATAGCACAGGGGACTCTACTCAGTACTCTAATGCCCTATATGGGAAAAGAATCTAAAAATAAGTGGGTATATGTATAACTGATTCACTTTGCTGTACAGCAGAAACTAATACCATACTGTAAATCAACTATACTCCAATAAAAATTAATTCTAAAAAAATAAGAATAATATTAACCATCCAAAAAAAAACCCCAATAGGTATAATACTTTAATAACTGTCACCATGAAGTAAAAAATCCTTTTATGATTATGACAGTTTGTCATTGCTGCCTCTTAAACTTAAGTGTTTATTCAAATTTGTGAAAGTTTTTCTCAAAGTCTTCAGCCTAGAAGAGGCAGAGTCTTGTTTTTTCCCCAAGGGACTTAATTTTCATCAGAGTTAAGATATTATACCCTTGAAAAAAATAACAGTTAACTTTAAAAACTCAGTTAACTGTTACTTAGAAATTTACCCATACCATCTGCTTCTTTAAAATCCTCTTTTTCCATTACAGTCAATCTCATTATATACAGATATTTGATAATGATAAAATGATAAAAGTCAATACATAAGGAAGATAAAACAGTGATAAATGTGTATACACCTAATAACAGAGCTTCAAAATAAATGAAACAAAAATCAGTGTAATTAAAGAGGTAAATTCGCAGTCACAGTTGAAGATCTGAATACCTCTCTTAGC